ATCTATACATAGACGTAACTCACCTTCTTTCTTTGGTACAAACAAGACAGGAGCACCATAAGGAGAGGAGCTAAGGCGAATCCATCCTTTTTCTGTTAAGTCTTGCAGTTGTTTCCTTAATTCCTCAAGTCCCCTAGCAGACATTCGGTAGATAGGGCCCTTGGGAATCTTACTACCAAGAATAATTTCAATGGTGTGCTTAATTGCACGCTCAGTTATTCCTGTTGGTTCTTCAATTTGTAGATCTTTATATTCATCTAAGAGTTTTTCAATTGAAGGAGGATAGGAAGTAGAAGACTCACCTGCTTTCTTTACTAAGACCATCATTACTTCCTGTTCCAACCTTTTCTTCGAAACCATTGATCGGAATGCTGGATAACTCATACAACAGATAGAGAGACTAGAGTAAGATCCAGATTTATGAAACAATTTGATAGGCTTCAATTCGGAGTGTGCATCATGCAATTGCACAATCTTTTCTTTAAACTTGATATCTGGGTTGGCTTCCTCGTGCCAGTCCATTCCCAGAATCAAGTCAAAGGGTAAATTATTTTCGACCAAGAAGGATACCTCGTGAAGAATCTTCTTTCCTTCCTTGGTGTGAAATCGACATTTAACACGATCAACACATTGCGAGATAGTGATCATGCGTCTGTCAGCGAGAATAAACGTGGTAGGTCGAGACAGATCTTTTACCTTCATTCCGATATGCAACTTGCGGATTGTTTTCTCGGATATGTAGGATCGCGTCGATCCTGAGTCCAACAGTGCACCTACGCGTGTAAATGCAATCTCTTCATCCGCGAGTAGTAGGTCACCCTTAGACTTAGATTTCTTAGCCCACGAGTTTCGTAATGCTAGCAACTCGTTACCAAGCTCGTCAAGAGAGTCGTCCAGAGAGACAGTACAGAAGACAAGTTCAGGGTGTTCCGGATGATGGGCTGAAGAAGAACCATCCTCTGCCATGTGAGTCAAAGGGTTAGAAGGGTTAGTAGGCACCCTAGATGTTACTCCTACTGGCGGCTCGCTTTTGGGTTACGGATAAGTGGGCACCAGGTTATCACATGCCTTGGGGTACCACACTTCAGACACTGTGCATTGTCTTTGCTGCCACGTTTCTTGTGACATTCCCATCTTTTCCGATGGCTTCCCGACCGCAATTCCGGGATGCTCAGGAAATGAGCGTGGTTTCTTCTTCTTCATTGCTGGCGGTCGTGGTCCTCCCTTGTTGACCACGACGGTAGTGACTTCCCCCTTCCCAGAATCACTGCTGCTCGCCATACCCTCGACCTCCAATGACCACTTATCCACAGTATCGTCATCAAAGACGAAAGTATCCGCTTTCCTGCACCTACACCACCACCAAACTTCACAACAGACGCATAAGAATTCTTCACCTGAGATGTCATTTGCTGAGCCAGATCTCGAAACTGCCTATGATTAGATTTGTCGGACTTCGACTCTGCCACAAGTTGTCCACGGATGGGCTCGGGCAGAGCACGCGAATAGATGTACAAGACTTGGTTGTCTTGCAGGTTCGTTCCAGGAACCTGCAACAACCGATCAACTTCCCTAGACAACGATTCCACAGAGGTTCAATGTTTCTTACCAATTGTGGTGAGCTGATCAAAGGCCTTGTCGGCCATTGTTTTGTCCAAAAACCGTTCCATGATCTTTCCAAGGAACTGCTTGAGGTTCAAAGTTTCAGCCCACTCCCCAATGTCATCGAACCCTGTTGTGTTGGGTTCGGCCAAGACCCATTCCTTCGCTTCCCCCCCAAGACAAGAACTAGAGAAGGCAACCTGGGATTCGAGTTCAACAGGGGGCGTATTACAGTACGTTTGTATCTCAGCAATCCATAACAATAAATTTTCATCTTTCTTGTTGCAAAATGTGAAAGGCAATTTCATTTTGCCTTTTTTTTTTTTTTTTCGGTTTCTCAGGTTGTGCGGTGGTGACTTTGCTTCCTCCGGGAGACTTCGGCAGACTCGAAGGCTCTCCTTTCTTCTCGTCTGATTTCGAAGTCTCTACCTCAAGAGACTTCATTGCATCTCCCAACAATTTCATAGGTTTCTCTTCTTTCTCGGTCCGGACTTCTTCAATCACCTGATTCTTTCCTTTGACCAGATTGGTAATGATCTGCAATCCCGCGGTCACTTCATCAATTCGTACACCATACTGATCAATCTTCATCTCTAGGTGAGCAAGGTAAGTCACGAGTTGAGCCAAAGAAACTGTCTGTCCTTCCCCTTCGGTTACAATGACATTTTGTCGAATTTCTTCTATCTTTTGTTCTTGATGTACATTTCTTTCTTTCTCCTTCCTCATTTCCTTTTTTCTTCTCTTCTCCCTTTCAAGTGCTTCTTCTAATTGTCTTATATTTTCATCCAGGACTTCTTCCGACACATCTTTTTTCTTCTCCTCCTTCCGATATGAAGTATTTGCAAGTTGTTCAATGATATACTTATCAAGTGCCTGATGACACCTGATAAGTTCATTCTGAACACCCATGACGTCGGTGCTCGTCTCAGCCGATTCAATAGCAGCATGTACTGCTCTCAAATCGAACTGGGCTCGTATGTGGGCCTCGGCTTCAGCACCTGCGTCATGGAGTTTAGAGATCAATCTATCCAAGAGGGCTATTAGGACTTGCTTCCGCTCTTCCACTTGCTGTCATGTTCGGGGGTCAGGGGTCTCCTCATCAATACCAAACATGAGTAAGACGGGAAAGAAAAGAGAAGGAATAAATCGAGTGAGCACTGAAAATTTCAGACAGTTCCAGAGAGAATACATCTTGATTTGCGTCTACCGCACAATAAATAATCAATAAAGAATAATAAATTCCACGGCCGCACTGATCTACAGCAGCAAGATTTCAGAGAACCAAAGAAAAAGAACAAATACAATTATTTCTATTTTCTAACTATGGTTGTTATTTGTCTGTCTGTGTGATGACGTCCTAAAGAAGAGTGTACAGATACCACCTCAGGCCCGTGTGATCAGATACAACACACAAGTAAGTACGCACAGCACCACAACACAGCAAATGACAATGTAAGTATGCCAACAACAACAGCAAACAATTTATCAGCAACCTTCTTCAACCCGCTGTGTCTTCCTGATGTCAGTGCGATATGCACTCTCCCTGACAGCTGGCACTACAGCCATATTGTTAGCCGTTCAGTCAGTTGTACCGCTGTCGTCTTCAAAATGCTTCTCTTACTTGGCAGTAATCCTGCCTGCCACGTGTCATCCCTGGAGTGCCAACATAGCATGTACTGCCACATCATCACTCTGTACCACAATGTCCAGTCAACCAATAGCGGGATGCCACGTCAGCAAACGTGTACTCAGATCCTAGCCACGTGCCACTTCCACACGTCACGTTGAGATACCGTCGCCGTTCCAGGCAATCGGATCATGCCACGTCGGCCAAGGAGACCGATGTCACGTCAGCAGGCAGTCACCACCTCACGAAGACAGGTGTGATGACTTGCTTCCTGCCACGTCAGCAATCAATCCTGTTTCCTCAAGGCCACGTCAGCATCTGCAATAAACCCTGTCGCGCGTCAGCAGCATGAAAAGTGGCACATCAGCAATCAGCAACAAGGTCTTCAGACGCGGCATTCAGACGCGGCACAACATATGCCACGTCAGTAGGGGATCGCGATGCTACGTCACTGTCATGTCAGCAGCCTCGTAGGGATGTTTGTACCTCGTCAGCAACCCCGGCAGTACCTCGTCAGCAACCTCGACAGCAACCCTGACAGCAACCCCGTCAGCGTCTTCTCGCCAGTGAAGTCTGTGCCTCGTCAGCAACCCTGGCAGTGTCTTCTCGCCAGTGAAGTCCACGTCAGCATTCACGACATATCTCTTGCCACGTCGTCACCTATTCAACACATGTGTGCTCTACACTTACTTGCGCGCCACCTGGCGCATGCACACGTATACAATCGTCGTCATCAGGAGAACTGCCCCGATACCAAATTGCAATGAACCCAGATCGTGTAGACAATCGTCAACAATGCAAGCCCAAATAAATGTCAATCTGCTGATGATTACCAATAGTCAAAATCGTAACCAAACAGAATGAGATGAGATAATCATACACAAACGAAGAGAGAGGAGGGAGATTAGACAGAGGAGAGGAAAGTATAATGCCCACTCCTGCTTCGGGCTCCCTCCTCGACCACCACCTCAATCATCAATAGTTTGAACAAGTATCTGAAGTAACCTCAGTGTGCCACGTGGCACGTCTAATTAGTCCCTCATCAGCACTGGAGCAATGTCGACATGAAGACAACAGGTACGTATCACGATCTCTCCACAGTCCCAATCTCCTCCCGAATGTCAATAATCAGAACAGCAATACAAGTCACATAGAAGATACACGTGGCAGCAGCCACATCAACGACAGCACATGGCAACTACCACGTCAGCATGCCAAGAAGACAGGAGCAAGCCAGCCACCATGCCGGACCAGCAGCGCCTCGCTGAATCACAATGCCAGCGTTGCTGCGTCGAGCCAACGTTGAAGTCAACGTGTGAAGTCAGCATCAACGCAAGACAGAATGAATGAAAGTCAAAGCCAGGAAGTCAGCGCTTATGTACGTGGGGTTTGGACCCCGGATGCGGCATCCCTCAGCCGTCCAGATCTCAATGCAAAAGAAGGCCCAGCTTGGTCTGAAACCGAATTCTCTCCGGCCTGGATGCAGACATTGAAACCGAATTCTCTCCGTCTTGGATGCTGTCTGGGTACCTGCGCACAACATGTGAGTGTATCCAACCAAGGGCCTGGGCGTGGTACCTTTGACTCTACAGTTGACTTTGACCCTTCAATTTCCAGTCTGCAGTGTTTGGTCACACAGCCGAACGCAGCAGACTCAGGCCTAGGCGTGTCTTGGTCACACAGCCCAATGCAGACCGACTCAGGTCTGCATTGCCTGGGGCTGAGTTCTGGGCCCTAGGCTACTTCTGAACAGGGTTACTGCATTTAAATGGATTTAAAACGAATTTTATCAATTTTAATGGATTTAAAACAAATTTAATTATTTTAAATGAATTTAATTAAATTTTAAACGAATTTAATTAATTTTAATGGATTTCAAACGAATTTAATTAATTTAAATGGATTTAAAACGAATTTAATTAATTTAAACGAATTTAATTCATTTTAAACGAATTTAATTATTTTGAAATATTCAATTGCAAGGAAAATGAGCGATAGCGAACTTCAGAAACCGAGCAGCATCATACACATGAGACCAGATAGTCGTGACCTCGACCCAAGAGCAGAATTGCAACACGAGTTCAACCAAATAAGAACACTTCAAAAGCTCACAAGTGACAATGTTGGAATAGTCTCATCATCATCAACAATGAACCAATGTTGAACATCCTATCTGGCGCTCTGCGCCCAGACTACAAATGGCAGATCCTATCTAGCCTATCTACAATGCCGCTGGTGACGCCGACAACTCCCCGAAGTACGAGCAGATCTCGGCCAATGTCGTTCGCCTCAAGCACCAGGTATGTCTCTCGTATCACTCACAACCTCGATCCCCCACTCACAGATGCCACGTGCACCCAAGGACCGCCATGCGCCCCATCCGACTCAGTGCAACGCAACTTGGCTATGGCTGCCTGCTCTCCCTGCTCGCCCGTGAGCGTGTGGGCCTGGCCAGCGATTAGCGCAACATGCAGCCAGTGCCCGAATGTCGAATCTGGAGGCAGGCCCTTTCCTAAATGCAAGTGGCCTGCCTGCTGCACGCGGCAAGGCTGCACTCGGCCCCGACCCAGAAGCTTTCGGTAGGCCCCAAGAGGCTGAGCCTCAGACCAAACGAATCAGGCCCAGGGCCTATGGTGGTTACCTGTGCCCAACTGCCCGCAGCCTGTGTTCGGTCCATGTTGCGTATTTGGCCCAGGGCCTGCCTCTGTTACATACAATAGAGGCAGCCTGGGCCTGGGCGCTTTCAACCAACTGGCGCTGCGCAACTGGCTGAATTTTCCCCAGTTGCGTGGTAGTCCAAAATAGGCCTAGGTCGGGCCTGCCTTCACTTAGGGTGACCGACCTTGCTGATAACAGGGCCCAGTAGGGCTTACCGAGGCCTTGTGCCTCGCATTCCCTCCTCCACACTTCGCTAGTCCTCTGAGAAGTTTATTCAATCTGGTACTTTCCTTTCTGCAGTAACTTCTCGTAGTGGGCGACAACCTGTGGAGCGGTCTGCATCAATTCCTCCCGGGTAAACCATCTGTCCTCCTTAGGGTCAGTGTGAGTGTCTGAACCGAACGCGATGTTGCAGCTTCGGCTTAGGAGGGCGTCCCCTGCCGGTTGGTCTTGGAACTCGCAATTTTCTGTGGTCCACGATGTCGTCAATGTCGACCTCTCCGTCCATGGTTGGGGGCAGCATTGAGCGTCGTGGGGGAAACTGATCAGTTTCCTCGAAAGGTGCAAGCTTGGAGGCGTGAAAGACAAGGTAAGTGCGAAGGTGACCAGGAATCTGAACTACATATGACGGCCCATCCGGATCATCCCTGACGATATCTAGAACCTCCCAGGGTCCCAAGTACTGTGGCATGAGCTTACAGGATATCACGTGCTCTTGTCCCAGTTCTGAGGACTTGACCTAGACTCTATTCCCTACCTGGAATGTAGATGGGTGGCGATGCTTGTTCTCGGACTCTATCATCGCCGCCTGTGCCCTGTGCATCTGTTCTACAGCTTGCTGCATCAGGTGTTCATATCGATATGCAAACTCCAGGGTGCCTGGTGCAGCAGAAGGCTGATTCTCAGGTAGTAGAAAATCTAAGGGCAGTCTAGGCTTGAAAGTCAGTAGCAAACTGTTGGGGCTCACCCCTGTTGCGATGTGCATTGCGTTGTTATACAGACTAGCGATGAGAGCAAGTTTCTCATCCCAGTCCACCTGATTGGGCTTGATGTAATGCCTCAGCAGGTGTTGAACAGCACGGTTCAGTTGCTCTGCTTGTCTGTTTGCCTCTAGGTTGTTGCCGGAAGTCATCTGCAGCTGTGTCCCTTGTTCTGCAGCTGCGGCCTTCCACAGTTCATTGGTAAATCGCACATCCCGGTCACTAATTTTCTTTGAACAACTTAATTATGTACTCGTTTTTGGCTGTTGTTGGCATTGCGACTAACCTAGCATACTTGCTAAGCCAATCCAGATTGACATAGACATATCGCATTCCACTCTTGCTGGTGACCAGCGTGTCCATTAAGTCCATGGACAGGCTCGATGTGCATTGCGTTGTTATACAGACTAGCGATGAGAGCAAGTTTCTCATCCCAGTCCACCTCATTGGGCTTGATGTAATGCCTCAGCAGGTGTTGAACAACACGGTTTAGTTGCTCTGCTTGTCTGTTTGCCTCTAGGTTGTTGCCGGAAGTCATCTGCAGTTGTGTCCCTTGTTCTGCAGCTGCGGCCTTCCACAGTTCATTGGTAAATCGCACATCCCGGTCACTAATGATAAACTTTGGTAACCCGAAGTCCCTGACCCATTTTTCTTTGAACAACTTAATTATGTACTCGTTTTTGGCTGTTGTTGGCATTGCGACTAACCTAGCATACTTGCTAAGCCAATCCAGAATGACATAGACATATCGCATTCCACTCTTGTTGGTGACCAGCGTGTCCATTAATTCCATGGACAGGCTCTCACTGAGCCTTTCTGGTATCGGAAGGGGCTTGAGAAGCCCAAGAGGGGCCTGTGTACGTGGCCTGTCTTTCAGACATACCTGACAAGTCTCCACGTACAGCTTGGCGTCTTTCATCATCGTGGGCCACCAGAACTGCTGCAGCAAGTTAGCTGCAGTCTTTTTGTATCCAAAATGTCTTATGGCATCATGACACTCTCCTAAAAATAAACTACGCAAAAACTCCTGATTAGGCACACACAAGCGTTTATTCCCAGCCTTCTTAAGGAACAACAGGCCGTTGACCAACTCAAACTCGACAGAAGTCACTTTGTCCTTCGCCTCGAGTCTGCGTATGATCTCAGCCATAAACGGATCCTCGCAATAGGCTTCCACCGGAGAACGAGTAAGATCGTCCGCAAGCTCAAACTCAGTAATCAGCACACCAAGAAAGTCTGGCCTACGTGACAGTGCATCAGCAACTCTATTGTACTCTCCTTTGATGTACTGGGTCTCAAAGTCATACTGCTCAATGACTTCGATCATGTGTTTCAGCGCATCAGAAAGCACAGGCTGGGTTCTCATCCACTTCAGGGTATGATGATCATTCCTGACGTAGAAGAACCTCCCAAGGAGGTAGTGCCTCCAGTGGGTTAGCGCTTTGTAAATCGTGTAGAGCTCCTTCTCATAGATGGACTTAGCCAACTTCTGAGAGGGCATCTTTTTGGACATGTACTCGACATGCCTCAACTTTGGCCCCTCCTGCTGTGCGAGCACGACGCCTATGCCATATTGACCAGCATCCGTGGTTACTATAAACGGCTTGTCAGGATCAGGAAGTTTCAAGACCTCATGGTGCGTCAGAGCATGCTTCAGATGTCTGAAGGCAGCCTCACACCTGTCTATCCACTCCCATGGGGTGTCAAGGCGAGTCAAATCCGTCAAAGGGGCGGTCACTATGCTATAGTTCTTGACAAAATTGCGGCAGTAGCCCGTCATCCCTAAGAAGGACCTCATCTCAGTTACAGACTAAGGACGCGGCCAGTCACGAATGCTGGCCACCTTCGCGTCATCGGGCTTCAATCCCTCTGCGGAAATCTCATGATCCAGATACAAGATCCGGGTACGGCCAAACTCGCATTTCTCCCCGTTGATCTTGAATTGGTGTTGTCGAAGGAGGCTAAGGACTTTGTCTGTGCCGGATCTGCCAGGATGGCGGTCCGACAGGATGGAGAAGAAGGGGTTGAGGAAGGAGGAAGTGGAGATGGAGATGGAAGGGACAGCGCAACTCCGACGCAGACTCGACACCACACATACTCCAAAAGTGCAAAAATGAAGAACGATGAAAAACAGACAACAGCTGGGGTATACCCCTAGCGGACTGACTGACTGGATTGGACTGGACTGGTACCGACAATGGTACCGGGCGTAAGAGCCATAAACACGCTATCCGCAAAAGCAGCGGAACTCTGCAATAAAGAAAGCTGAGAAATCTAGGATGCGGAGCAAGCTCCATGCTGAGTCCATGCGATGCAGCCTAAGCTACATAATGCCAAACGAAAAGCAAATGTCTGGTATACATGTCCTAGCTAACAGCAAAAATGAAATGTAGCAATATACAATCCTAAAGTCCTTGAGGCAATTGCCTCAGTGCTGAAAGGGAAAAAAATCAATATGGCACAAGATAATGTCATGTCGGTGAACCGCTAAGAGTGGGATGGTATCAGAGGGGGTGAATGCAACCTAAGAATCGGAACTTCTAAGGGCAGTCACACATGAAGGTGGGATAGGTCATCATGCTCAAGGTGGGAGAGTGGTAGCGAAACAAAACCAAGGACCCTAACAGATAGACCATCAGGGCGGGTAATGCTCGACAAAAGGATGACACCATGCAGAGTCGACCATGAAAAAGGGGGAGCCTGGAATATGGTGGAGATATGCCTAACTGAAGGCATGCAAGGACCGACACTAGGGTGATGAGGGCAGTGGAGGGAGCTAGATCTGGGAGCAAGGAAGCCAAGATAACGCTACGGTCCCAATGCCTATGCGATACCAAGGGAAAGCCCAACTCAAAGAGACCCAGCTAAGTGAGAACCATCATGCGATAGATGCAAGGGAATGTACAGGGTAGGGTGGTGGCGTGAAGTAGTCACGTCCAAAGTAGCTGAAGCCAATACGATGGCTGAAGTGGAGAAGGTGACTGAAGTCATCGAAGTGGTCAATGACGTCGATGAAGTAGGAGTCGAGGTCGATGTCGAAGCAGAGCCGCAAAACGCTAACATCCTGAAGAAGCTGATGATAGAGTGTTTGATGGTGTGTGTCAATAGGGAGATGGTAGGTGATCAGAGTGTCAATTGTCAAGGCGCCGAGATCTTCAGGTTGTCCATGTGGAGACGCTGGTCAGACACATGGTGTCCTAGGAAGTCCACTTTGCGTTGGGCAATGCGTCACTTACTAAGCGTGGCATAGAAGCCATGCTTGCGTAAGCGCTGTAGGACATCACAAAGGTGTCTGATATGGTCTTCTAAGGTACGGCTGTAGACCAAGAGGTCGTCCTGGTATACGAGAACGTATTCTTCACGGATGTCCCTGCAGTTGTCGTTCATCGTCGTCTGGAAGGTGGCGGGTGCATTGGTGAGGCCGAATGGCATCATCGTGAACTCGTAGTGGCCGAAGCGCGACCGGAAGGCGGTCTTCGGTTGATCCTGTGCGGCAACGTGGATCTTGTGATAACCGCTATGAAGATCGATCTTCGTGAAGAAGCGGTTGCATGCCAGACGGTCAAACAGCTCATCCGCGCGGGGCATGGGATAGTTGTTCTTAACCGTGTAATGGTTAAGACCGCGGTAGTCAATGCAGAGGCGGAGAGTTCCGTCCGCTTTACGAGCAAAGAGGACAGGTGCACCCCAAGGGGAGTTACTAGGTTTAATAAAACCCAGTCGAAGGAGCTCCTCAAGCTGATACTTGAGTTCTGTCGCCTATGGAATCGAGAGTTGGTACAGTGCCTGATGGTGAACACGATAGTCAGGCACGAGCTGGATAGAATGGTTAACACCGCACATCGGAGGGATCCCGCTGTATGAGAAATACAGAGGGAAGACGTCGCGGTACTCTCGAATCAGGTCGCGAACAGTGGGCTCTAAGTCTGCCGTGAACCGTGTGAGTTCCTCAATGTCTGCGTCAGCACGCGACGTATGTGTGGACTCGACAATCGACGACGCAGGGGCCTGGGACGTGGAGGGGGTATTCGCAGGCTGACGAATGGACGTAGAGATGGGAGCCGCGAAGATGGAGGGAGGCCCGCCGGGTGCCCAGAGCCGCACCCACTTCGGAGGGTCAGGACAGAGCTGAGCACCGGGTGCCCAGAGTGGCACCCACCTGCACCCACCCGACCCATAGGGTGATGGGTCGGATTTTGGGTCTACATGAGCTGTCTTGGGTGGGTTATGGGCGGGCACAGCCAGCATGCCTTTCTGGGTGACGGACGGGTGGGTGGCAAGCGGGTGATGTCTTGGTCTGGGTCACCCGACCCATAGACCCAAGATGACCCGAACATTATGCAACCCGCCTCCCCCCTCCCCCCCCCCCTCTCCCTTGTGTAGTACGTCGGGCTTGAGGTTGAGAGCCAAAGAAAAAAGTGCCTGGATTCAGTTGCCCAGGTCCTGATAAAGTAACGCGAAGTGCTCCAGCAGTGCAGGTGCCCTTGGACAAAAAAAAAAAATATTGAGATACTTTCCTTAGAGATGTTCGAGTCTCATTGTTGATGTTGCCGTTGTTTTAATAATAGGATTTCATATGTCTTTGTTGCAATGCTATGTTGCCGATGAAATTGTGATGGTGTAAGCGACTGACATGGGCAGGTGCGGGCTGATGCGGGTGGGTGCGAGTGAAGAAAATTTAGGTATTGGACGCGGGCGGGTGATGATACTCTTACGGGTGCGGGCGGGTGTGGGTGAGGGTTTTTTTCGGGTCATGGGTGGATCGGGCGTGGGGCTGAAATTTCAAAAAATATTTTGGGTGGGTGGGGTCGTCTAAAAGTAAAAAATAAAATTCTTGGGCCGGGTGGATGGGGAAGAAAAAAAATTGGGCGGGTTGGGTCGAGGGTGAGGAAAAAAAAAAATTGCCCACCTCTGGGTCAGGAGGATCGGGCTCCAGTGAGATGAGCTCAACCTCGGGACAGAGTGGATCGTAGCAAAGAAGATCCATGACATTCACTAAGTAGAACGTGACGTCCTCCTATCGTATGAAGTGAGCAAGCTGACGAGGAGAAGTGAAGGCGATGTCTGGGGGGGACCCAGAAGGACGAGGGTCCTGGGGAGGTAGGTCTGGAGGGGTGTCGCCCGTGGTTCCAATGAAGGGGACTCGATGGGTCTGACCACACTTCGTTTCGAGAACGAGTGTCTCAGTCGCCCATTCGGCCTCTGTGCCACGGAACCGGCAAGACCAGGGAGTGCCAAGGATAAAGTCGTACCCAGTCTCCAGCATGTCGAAGTATGCAGAGGAATGATAGCGCCGAGGCGCCTGCGTACTATCTGGTGGCTGGAGGGTGAGGGAGAAATGGAGGTCGGGGACCGTCTGATCGAAGAAGCGTTGTGTCTTGTTATCTCCGAGGGTAACGGAGATAGGAGAGTGAGACGACTTTGCTATTGGAGCTGTCATATATCAGATATACTCAGCCTCCTCTACTTCTCCCAATTCCACAGAGTCTCGCCTTCCTCGCATTCCTCACTTCCCTCTCCCACCTTCAACGACTGCGGCTCATCTTGCACCATTGAGCCCACCCCTTCAGGGCCCCCACCCCCACATATTCCTAATGTCGCTGACGACGGTGCAGTCGAGTCTCATGATGGCGAGTGTCCGGTTGCTTATCTATCCCGATAGCCACTTCCTGTAGAGCGTAACTATACTGCTGTTAAGCGTGAGGTTCTTGAGTTGGTCTACACTGTAAAGAAGTTGTGTCATCATTAGCACGGTCATACCTTCACTGTGCTCACAGACAACTCTGTCCTCGGCGCCTTTCAGACAAAGCCAAAACTCACTTCTCGTAAGGCTCGTTGGTGGCGTGATCTTTCAAAGTTCAATTTCACCATCAGGAACATCTCTGGCGAGAGCAACCATAGCATTGATGCCTTATCCCGTCGCCCTGACCTTAAGTGCGATGATCGACAACTCTCTGCTTTTTCGGTTTCTACTCCCACCATCCATCCACCCTTCCTAGAGGAGTACCATCGTGCTTACCCCCATTGTTCTGAATTTCAGTCAATCCATGCTAACTTACAGGCTGGTAAGCGCGTCCCTAACTTCCAGCTCGACCCCTTTCGACTCTTGTACTGGCTTGGACTCAATCATCCGTGTACTCCTCGCTTATGTTTGCCTTCTACCGGCCAGTTGCGTGTTCGGGTTGTCGCTGAGTGCCATGATCAGTGAGCCGCCGGTCATTTCGGTGTTCACAAGACTCTCGATCGCCTCTACTGCCATTACTATTGTAGACACAGCCGCACCTTTGTTAAGGAGTATGTCAGCACATGCAAGATCTGCCAAGAGGCCAATATCACCAACCACGGGGTCCACGCCCCCTACGGTCTTGTGCAGCCTCTACCCATTCCTACATAGCGTTGGACTTATGTTTCCATGGACTTCATGGGTCCTCTGCGCCCCGCTACCCCATGGGGCTATGACACTATTTTTGTCGTTCTTTGTCGGTTGACTAAGCATGCTCACTTCCTCCCCTGCAAGTATGTTATTTCAACCAAGGGCATTGTATCATTCTATTTCAACTACATCGCCATTCACCACGGTCTTCCTACTAGCATTGTCTTTGACCATGATCCCCACTTCACTTCTCACTTCTGTGTGGACTTCATGCGATCTACAATTTAGAGCTTCGCTTTTCTTCCTCTTATCATCCCCAGCTAGACGGACAGACCGAGATCACCAACAAAACTTTTGGGAATATTCTAAGAAGTTTGTTGAGCATAACTCTAATTGTGATCTTCATCTTGCCCATGCAGAGATCGCCTATAATCACTCTATTTCACCAGCCACCGACATGTCTCCCTACTACTGTGACCTGGGATACCACCCTC